AAAGGGAACAGCAGAAGAAGACAGGAAGTGAACACTAAAGGGAACAGCAGAAGAAGACAGGAAGTGAACACTGAAGGGAACAGCAGAAGACAGACAGGAAGTAAACACTAAAGGGAACAGCAGAAGAAGACAGACAGGATTAAACACTGAAGGGAACAGCAGAAGAAGACAGACAGGAAGTAAACACTAAAGGGAACAGCAGAAGAAGACAGGAAGTAAACACTAAAGGGAACAGCAGAAGCTCAAACACACTCCAGCAGAACTGACAGGGTTTGGAGCTGCTAGCCTAAATGCTACAGCTCGTATAGACAGGAGTATAAGGGGCAGGCGGGACAGATGAAGAGTTAGTGAACAGAGGTGGATTTGTCCACAGATCAGAGGAGGAAGAGGCCTATCATTTCACTGTGAACTGAAGCATGTCTGGGGAGCCGTCCTCAGGTGACTCTGGATACACTGGATACACTGTATTTATAAAAGTGTGGTGCTGTGATGGCGTATTTCTGTGTTGGACCCTGGAGGCAGCATCTACCTGGTCCAATGGGTTCTCTCCATGTGATTTTGGGTTATTGCAGAAAATAATCTCAACGTTTATGATACTTACACGTTTAGTTCATCAGGATAATCTCCACATATTAACACCACTTTATGACGTTTGAAGAAAAAAGCTAATGTTGGGCTATAAAGGAACTACAGCACGGTCACATGACTTCACGTCACCACCGCTAAGCTAAAGGCGGCTAATGTTGGGCTATAAAGGAACTACAGCACGGTCACATGACTTCACGTCACCGCGGCTAATGTTGGGCTATAAAGGAAACTACAGCACGGTCACATGACTTCACGTCACCACCGCTAAGCTAAAGGCGGCTAATGTTGGGCCTATAAAGGAACTACAGCACGGTCACATGACTTCACGTCACCACCGCTAAGCTAAAGGCGGCTAATGTTGGGCTATAAAGGAACTACAGCACGGTCACATGACTTCACGTCACCACCGCTAAGCTAAAGGCGGCTAATGGGATAGTGGTGGTCTAATGGATAGTGAGGTGGGCTCAAGATCGGAAGGTTGTGAGTTCAAATCCCGCCAGGAACACCACCACTAGTGTGCCCTTGAGTAAGGCACTTAACCCTTAGTTACTCCAGGGAGAATGTCCCTGTAATTGGTAATTGTAAGTCGCTTTGGATAAAAGCGTCAGCTAAATGAAATGTAATAATGTAATGTAATGTTGGGCTATAAAGGAACTACAGCACGGTAGACACTGAATACTGATATGAACCTGAACATGAGCAGGATTTGTCATCTTTAAGAAAAGTTTAACACTGAAAGCTCTTGTATTTGAATTTATCTCCAGTGTTGTTTTTCTGGTGATCTCTTAGTGTGTTTTAGATTACAGAGTCTCTGTTTGCTCATGTTTGCTTGTGATGCCACACAAACACACACTCTGAGCTGTTTGGTACATTTGCACAGTAAAATAAATGCCTTTGTGCTCTCTCTCTCTCTCTCTCTCTCTCTCTCTCTCTCTCTCTCTCTCTCTCTCTCTCTCTCTCTCTCTCTCTCTCTCTCTCTCTCTCTCTATATATATACATATATGAATATGCGCACCATAAATGAATCCATTAGCACCGGTGGCTAATTTGTTGGCTAATTTCGTACGGAGCATGTGTGTGTGATTTTACATTCAAGTGTCTTTTAATGGAAGGCACTTGTGTGTGTTGTTTTTGTGCCTGTCTGTGTGTGATGAATGCAGTGATTAAGTGAGTGTGATTCAGAGTGTGTGTACATTAAGCCTGGGTGAGAGTTATGACCTCTGTCTGCAGCTGCAGTGTGAGAAACGTAAAGGCAGTGTTAACTTTTGTGTAACACACTCCAGGAGTACATCATACACTGACTGAGGAACATAATGAATCAGTGTGTGTGATTAGAGCGATAGCATGGTATATTTGTGTGTGTGTGTGTGTGTGTGTGTGTGTGTGTGTGTGTGTGTGTGTGTGTGTGTGTGTGTGTGTGTGTGTGTGTGTGTGTGTGTGTGTGTGTGTGTGTGTGTGTGTGTGTGTGTGTGTGTGTGATCTCTGCTGAGGCGGAGGCAGGGGGCCTTGGGGCGACTGTTTGCAGGAGATAAGGGTCATTCATCCGTGTATAAACGTGTGTGTGCAAGCATGTTTGTGCATCAGAAAGTGTGTGTTTCCATGGTTTACAAGAAAAATAATAAATGCTCATGTTGTTTTACAATATATACCACAGCCAGTGTCATGTCTCACAATAGAGAGACTAAATACTGATATACACCTGAACATCAGCAGGAGAGGACTCTTTAAAGTAGAGACATTACATACTGATATACACCTGAACATCAGCAGGAGAGGACTCTTTAAAGTAGAGACACTACATACTGATATACACCTGAACATCAGCAGGAGAGGACTCTTTAAAGTAGAGACACTACATACTGATATACACCTGAACATCAGCAGGAGAGGACTCTTTAAAGTAGAGACACTA